TGGATTGTTGATTTGAACTTAAATATGTCATCGAAGAAATGCAAAGGTTCGTGTCTATCTGCAAGCGCGAAGAAAGCACTAAGAGGAAAAAGCCGGGGCGTAAAGGTTTCAAAAACATTCGATCAGAATTGGGCTGATGCTGGCGTGGGACAAAGGTTCTTGCTTTGAGCAGGAGAGGTTGCTTACAGTGGGCCAGGAAGACTTTTGACATTCTCCAAGCATATTACTTCATTGGTGCTTTGGCCGTTCGAAGCGGTAACGGCAATATCTCAACTCAATCGGTATCTCGTGGGTTTCCTCAACGTTGTTTACGGGTGCGCTCTTTCATTGCCTACGGCATCTCCAAGCTGCAGGCGTTTTAAACAACGAAAAGGAGAAACAGAAGCGAAAATTATTTTCTTACTAACCTGGGCGTACGAGCAGTGTAATTCAGATCTCGAAATGGAGCCCGCTTTGTAATTGATACGAGCTCTATTGTTAAAGTAAAATAAGCCTTCACTTTATCAAGGCGTCATTATTTTCACACGTTTTGTTTTAAAATTATCTCATTGCACCGGAAGAAGGCCCCACAGTGAAGCACACCTTTTGAGTTCGTTTCCGGCGAGTTTTTAACGTTCTTCGCTGAAATTTGGAGAGAATGTCGCCCGGTAATCAGGCAAAGTTTGTGCTTCTTTCAAAAGTTATGACTATCTTAGTGAAGAGAATGCATATTTTATCAACTCTCAAAGTTTAACGGCGAGTCAAAAATAAACCAGACAAATAATCAAAAATTCCCGACAGGGTTTTTTAAAGAAAGGTGCTGAGAAGACTTAGCGATGTTAATCGCGTCCTCTCGCTCAAATCCGACCGTAAACGAACTTCTTTAGGGAACCTCTGTACTCTGGGAAATAGAGCGCTATATTCGGAAAAGCTTGATTTTTACTTAATTTTATTTTAATAAATATACCTTCGAAATCTACAATTCTTTCAAAGCTTTCAGAAAATAAATACCTTTCTGGTGTTTGCGTCAAATGTCCGACCGTAAAGCGGCGCCAACGAATGATGGTCATTTGGGGGTATACTGTTACCTTAAGAGTAGCTAAATGTATATGTATTGCGTGAATTTTGTGCGTGGAACGGAATCTCAATCCCTTTTGCTATCCTCGCCTCAGCTCCCAAGGGGACACGTCGCTCCTGTTCATAATACAAGCAATTTCCCCCTTTATTGTCAATGTTGCGTAAATCACTTTGCCGGGTTGTTCACACCAACATTGAAGGAGAGAGGTGGGAAGTGTGGCCCGCCATCATGGGTTCAAAAAACGAGGGCTCAATGCGCCTTGGCCTGAGACGTCCAATCGTTTCGCATGTTTTGCCATCTGCCACATGTTTAGCCCAAGCTCGCAGGCAATAATGACCCAATACTGCGGGGTTTTTGCGCGTAGGAGAATGCACTCTTATTCTCTAATTCCTATCAAAGCTAAAACCTATTCACCGCAATGAAACTCACTTGCGCTAGTTTTCAAATGCAGCCTCTTCGGGGAGGGCGGCTGTGAAACAAGCTACTTCAGATGAAGCACAATTGCTGATACAGTAGGATTGGATATTTAAGTCATAAATATTACCATCAACATTTTTCAGTCGAGAGACTGAAGAGTTAAATACGATTTAACAACACGTTTGATTTGAGCTATAAATCGCGTTTGCTTTCACGTTTTAGGCCTTTTCCATTTTAACAGAAGCAAGAGAAGAAGATGGCTTTAAAAGACAAGCTTTACTTAAGGGTTACCTCGATACTAAAGACTATCTGAAAAAGCTAAATGACGAAATTCTCGCTTTGCTGAAGAAGAACGTGGGCAACATTGAAGAGAAGATAGGACACCACAAAGCACAACTGGAACAAAAAGAATACCTCCTTCTTGTGGCAGGTAAATGAAACAAAGTAACTCTAGTTTAAAAAGCGGTCTAATTACAAACATTTTTAAGGAAGGAATCCGGCAAAATGTGCATTGACACAACAAGAATTTCGCGGCTTCGAATTGATTGTTATTTATTCAAAAATAGGGAATTTACGTAGCTTTGACTTTGTCAGTACACCATGTTCAGAACTACTCCTGAATCTGCCAACTTGCAAATGCTTCCATCATATAAAAGGCAATTCTTGATAAAAATGAAAAAGGTCAAAAGCTTAAGGGAACAAACACTACACACAAGAAGCTACTATGAAGGTAATCTAATAATTGAAAGTTAATACATTTTAAGGTGAGACAAGCTCTGGAAAAAGCTCCTTGGTTAACCTTATTCTGGGAGAGGAACTTCTTCCATATTCTGCACTCAGCACAACGTCCACCATATGCGAATTGAGATATGGAGATCAACCCAGAATCGTGGTCCACTTTAAGNAGATGGCTTTAAAAGACAAGCTTTACTTAAGGGTTACCTCGATACTAAAGACTATCTGAAAAAGCTAAATGACGAAATTCTCGCTTTGCTGAAGAAGAACGTGGGCAACATTGAAGAGAAAATAGGACACCACAAAGCACAACTGGAACAAAAAGAATACCTCCTTCTTGTGGCAGGTAAATGAAACAAAGCAACTCTAGTTTAAAAAGCGGTGTAATTACAAACATTTTTAAGAAAGGAATCCGGCAAAATGTTCATTGACACAACAAGAATTTCGCGGCTTCGAATTAATTGTTATTTACTCAAAAATAGGGAATTTACGTAGCTTTGACTTTGTCAGTACACCATGTTTAGAACTATTCCTGAATCTGCCAACTTGCAAATGCTTCCATTATATAAAAGGCAATTTCTTGATAAAAATGAAAAAGGTCAAAAGCTTAAGGGAACAAACACTACACACAAGAAGCTACTATGAAG